GGTCCACCAGTTCCCTGGAGAGCCAAGGGGGCTGCTGTGACCTTTCACTGCCTTTCCTCCGAGACGGAATGGACTTTGCTTGCACATCCAGGATTGCTTCCTTGAGCAGCAACCACTTGTCCTGAACTCCCATCCCCTTTGGGTTGTAGCCCCTTAGGGCCTCACTGACAAGCCTCCTGAGCTTGTCAAAGTCAGCTTTCCTGAAGTCAAGGACTTCTGTATTATTGATTGACTTGCCAGCTTTATGGCAGATGGTGAAGATGATCAGCTCGTGGTCACTGTCAGCCAGCTTCCCTTCATTCATTAGGTCGCTAATTAGGTCATCACCGGTTGCCAGTACAAGGTTGAGCAGCACTTTACCTCTTGTCGATCCACAGACTTCCTGTGTCAGATAGAGGTCATCTACGCATGAGAGAAAGCTTTGCGACTGCTTGGATTTGGCTGAGTGCTCCTCCCATGAGATGTCTAGGTAGTTAAAGTCTCCCATGGCAATCATGCACCAGGAGCACGTGGCCTCAGCTAATTCCCTGGTAAACTCCTGGTCAAGGTCTTGACCCTGGGTAGGGGGTCTGTAATAGACTCCCACCATAGTATCCCCTGTGCCATGTTCCCCACAGATTTTAACCCAAAGGGTTTCCAGTCGTCCACCATGGGTGCCAGTGTCGACTTGCAGGGACGCATAGCTTTCCTTGACATAGAGAGCTACACCTCTGCCCTTTTTGTCCACTCGATCCCTCCTGAACAGGGTATAGCAATCTATACCTGTGGCCCAGTCATGGGTGGAGTCCCACCAGGTCTCTGTTATCCCTATGACATCACAGTTTATTTCCCAAGCTCCTGACATTTGTGTATAGGCACGCAAGTGTCCCCTTTGGGGCCCTTGCCTTGCCTACAGATTATTCCAGAGCTGCAGCAGGGGTGGGTTCCCTTAAATGCTTTGGGTTGCTGGCTTTGCAAGGGTTGCTCTGCGGGCCAGCAGTGGCAGTAGTCCCCCCATCCCCCAGCAGGCTTAGTTTAAAGCCTGGTGGAGCAGGTCAGCCTGTAGCGCCTCATGACCCAGCTGGGAGCGCTCCGAGCCATGTCCTTGGTGCCCACATGGATAAGGAGCATGGGATAGTGGTTGGTGCACTGGATCTTCTCCACAATGTCTCGGTTGCAGGCTCCCAGGAAGCAGCAAACTTCCCGGGCTAAGGGGTCAAGGCGGCAGACTACCCCCTCAGGATGAAGTCTCCCATGACAAACACTTTGCATTTTGTCTTGGGGAGAGCAGGGGCGGTAGCTACAATAGTGTCTGTGTTGCCTGCAGGAGCTGGCAACTCAGCAGGCTCTGCTGGGGCTGCAAGAGGTTCGTACCCATTGCAAAGCTCCAGCGGGGTGGGGGCCTTGGTGCGGCAGGCCTTGGGGCCCTTGACCACCTTGGTCCAACCCCGTGGCTGGATAGAATAGGAGGTCCCCAAGTCCTCCCTTTTCCTGAAGGGAGAGCAAGGTCTAACCTCCACCTCCCGGGGGAGAAGGGCCTGGTAGTAGGAGTCGATCTCCTGCTTACAGTCCCTGATGGCACGCAGTCTCTGGACTGCGGCCTGGAGCTTCTCCAGCTGGCATGCCAGAGACCCCAGCAGGAAGCAGACCTCACAAGGGGAGGTGGCCATGCTCCCAGGCCCCAGAGCCTGAAAAAGCGACAGGCAGCCCCCGCAGCCGAGAGCCAGAGGCTCCGTCTGCGTGGAGCTCGGAACCACAGGCTCACACTGGAGCCGGGACCAAACTGCACACAGCATTTATCAGTGACATTATTGGCTACCCTGGCCAAAAAAGCTGATTGCCGATAATGTTAATTTTCCTTTTATCATTACTGATCCAATATGCGACTGATATATCAATGCACCTCTAATAACATGTACAGTCCAACAGTTGTTGTGCACTTCTGAGCAGCAGCTCCCACACCCTTTTTAGAAAGACTACCAACATACCCTCAATTTAAGGCTGACTAAAAATAATATGAATCTTTTTAAAAGAAAAGAAAAAAAGCACAATCATATCAACAAAAGTGATATCCTAAAGCATCAGTAATAAGGCTTATTATTAAAAGTGTTATTATTTGACATGGGTACCAATGGCTGGCATTCCACTTGACACTGATAGGAAGGACAATTATGAGCCACCTCTAAGAGATACAGCTCAATTCATCTAGCACTTTTTCACCATTCTTATGGTTTTTGTGGAATGTTGGTGTTCTTCCATCTGGGTGTTTGGCAGGTTGTTTGCTGTCCTTTCTATACGGCAAAAAGCATTTTACATTGTTTATGGTTAGCTTCAATTAGAAATTATTTTTCTATTCTGGTATCTGATATTATGATTAGTACAAAAAAACAACCTGATATCAACCCCATTTATCTCCTTCATCCCATGTACAGCATGTTTGAAAGACAGGCTGGTCTTTAAGCCACTAACTCTTGTTACTGGTACTTTGAAGTGATCCCTTAGGGCTTCATGCAGCCTCGCAGCATCACCATGTGCACTGTTTACAACGCTTGTGTCTGGCTGCTCGAACTTGAAGAACAAATAACTCCACCTCCCCTTGCCCTCTGGAAGGCAAGGCATTCCCTTTGGTTTCACACTGGTTGTTCAGGACATCACAGTCTGCAACAACTCCAGATACACCACGTACCTAATTTATGCCCCGCCTGCTCAGGAAATCTTCAGTGCCTCTTTCCAACACCTAATATCACTCTCTACCACTGTTGGGCACCTGCATGTTTCCTTGGTGTACTCAGATGTGAAACTACTATATCTAATGGTGCAAAACTTAACCCTGACCAGGTGACAACTGCCTCTGCCAGTAGGGAGTGAAGAGGTTTAACTTGGCCCGTACCACTAAACACAGTGGTATTGGAAAGATACACTAAAGGCCTTAATACCACTGCTGAAGGAAGATACCCATCAACAACTGCAAATTCATAACTTCCCTGATACAAAAGACATCTTCTGTCTTTTGTAGCACACATATATCAACGGTGTCCCAAGATAATGGAACACCAACTTATTGACAGACTTCTAAAGTAACCACTTGAGATTGGTGATAAACTGCTTTAAAAATCCACCTGGTTGTTGCTAACTACCAAGAAATGAAAAGTAAAAACGGTTCTTGTACAGAAGTGACACCAATTCCAAGGCTTATCTGATTTCCTGACGAGAGGAAGAAGACGTTTCTCCTTGCTTATTTATGGTGGGTATTGCTGACATACTGTTGCAGATTTTAACAGACAAGCATATAACAAGAAAAATGCTACACAGCTGACCTGAATTCCACTACATTTATACATAGCTCCAAGTCCCTGCATGAATCCAAGTGAACTCCCCAGGCTCTCTCAAATATTTGTGATATACGCCGTGATCACAGAAGGGGTTATAAACTGTATCCCTCTCTGGAGGTCATTGGAGTCTAGCTACCAGTTCAATACGGAGAGAACAAGATAGTATTAGGACTTACTTTCCCTTCAGATACTTTGATGGGGGAATAAACTGATTTGAACCAAAAATGGAATAATTTCAGGTGCAATCTGGCAAGTGGCACCATATACATACAACTGAACATATGGACTAATAATGTGAGGCAAATCCATACTAATGTGATTTCACTATCTTCAAGAATAACAGGAGTGAGAGAAATCTGTCGTCTGAAAGATAAGCCCTCACTGACATAGAAACTATTCTAGCCCTCATGAATGCTATTGTCTGTGATGGGGTAAGTGACCATTTCGTATGGTTTACAAGAAGGTCTAACTGGACAATAGGAGGAACTGCATAACCAAAGCTGGTTAAACACTCCTATTGCAGTCTGCCTCTAACCAAACTATCTTCACAATACATACCCAGATGCCCTCTTTCTTTATTGTATTATCACCATGAGAAAGATTGCTCTGTGTCCTGCCTCAACCCATGCGCCAGGAAGAGCTGGGGCTGCGCTGGGTGGCTGGCAGCAGCGGCAGTGCTGGAAGCATAGCTACAGTGAAACTTCGGGTGGCTGCAGCCCCTCCCAGTGCCATCGGTGCCTGTGCTGAGCCCAGCCCCTGCTGAAAGGAGCTGCACAGCGCCGGCTCCAGCCCACCTGCCCAGCCCTGGGGGGTACATCCTCCCCACCCTCCAGGGGTACAAGCAGGGGCGGGAGCCACCCCCGCCCATGAGCCATGCCTCCGTCCTATGCCCCTGCCCTGCCCCAGGCAGTGCCTGCCCCTGCCCCTGCCCCTGCCTCCCTCACCACAGGAGGCACTGATCTGCCCCCCCACGCCCCTTCCCTCCCCCCACCTCTTCCAACTTACCAGTTGAAGGCAGCTCTCCATTCTGCCAGCTCTACTCCTCATTGCCTGAGTGCTGCGCTGTAGCTGCACACAACATGGGCATTTATCAGCCAAATTATCAGCCCTATTGGGCCAATATCCGATACAGCAAATTTTCTTTATGTCAGTACCAATCAAATACCAGACTAATGTATCAGTGCACCTCTAGCAACTACAAAAACACACGTTGCAGACAACAAGCAAGGAGCACCAATCCACAGAGGAGACTATATTTTGGTGCACATAATCCCACAATGCACCACACAAAGCAGCTGACTGTGGGCTTCCACCACACTGTTTGCATAAGAGAATTCTGGTATAAAAAAGGTCACCGCATAAGAGCTAATTTGCACATACAGAACCCGCATAAAAAGAGGGAAACCAGAATCAAAAGACAATGCTGAATTTAAGACGACACCTCCCCAATGTTTAGATTCTATACATGGAATTTATTTTAAATTTATTATAAGTTTCCATGTATAGAATCTAATTATTGGAGTGCTATCTTAAATTCACCCTCCCCTACCACTGCAGAGGGGCAAGCAGTGGCAGGGGAGCAGGTAGCGGGGGGCAGACAGCGGGGGAGTCAAGCAGCCCAACTCCTGCCCGCTACCACTTACCCTCTCTGCTGCCGGCCCTCACTATCCCCATGCCTCCACCTCCTAGCACCATCTGAAATTTGTAAAGACTAGCAATTAAAAAAATACAAAAGTATGGAGATGCATATCTTAAAATATATTTTGCAAATCACTTAAAATCATGTTTAAATAAAGAAGGCTTTTCCCATTTCTGCAAAGCAGAATGAACATTTTCTTGATCATATTTCTCTGACCTTCCTTTTTGCCTGAAAATGGCAGCTTACATTGAATAAATAAAGTCTTTACTTTCAGTTATTTTTCAATTTGAGGCTTGTTATTGTAATTTTTATTAAATTGTAATAAAAATTAAAATGTTTATTGCTGGACACAAATCCAGTTCTTTACTGGAACATCTTAAGCAGGAACAAAACTCTAAAGTCATTTATTCAAATTGTGCTGTATGTCTTCAGAATAGTAAGTAGTGAAAGTATTTACAATTGCTGCTAATGTAACAGAACTCACTTGTTTCAATAAGATGTGATTTCTGGAAGCTCTCCAAGACACTGCCATTTAGTATTTTGGGTAAGAAATCCCGTAATTGCATCACTTCAGTTGTAAGCCTCTCCAAATCTCTTTTTTTGACTTTAACAAATTCCTCTTTGGTCTCAGCCTTCTGAAACAGGAAACAGAACAAATCTTTGCTAATATGCAATGATCTTTATTTGTATTTCAGTACCAATCCCCCAAATTCCTTTCTATGCACAAGTCCATCTCCCTCCATTCAGTAACATTTTTAAATTTTATTTTGAAAGCAAAATACATCTAGGTTTTTCAAACCAAGGGCCTCAGAGACAGGAACTCAGTTCTAAGCCCAACCTTGTTGCACTATGACCAGAGGCAAAACACGTTCCCTCTCTCTGTGTCAATTCCCACCTCTGAAAAGGGTTTCATTTACCTCACTGAGTACACTTAAAATTAATTGGTCATTTATACAGCACTCCAAAAATATGAAGAGCTATACACACACTTAGCTTTTACCTTCTGAGAATGCCCTCAGATCTGAGCATGCCCTCTGGTTATAGTGTAGCTTTCAGTATTTTTAAAAAAATAATTCCAAGACTTAAATGATTGCCATCCTGTTAAATCGGGAGATGATTCTTTGACTGAAAATAGTTACAGCCCCTACAAAAAAATCAATTTACTTTTTAAAAATAAATTACATTCATTAGCCAAGCAAGCATAGAAGTAATTTCATTCTGAGTTAAGACCAGCAAAAGATTAGGTACAGAGGAGTTGCATCCTATTGCTATGGTATTCTTTTCAGTTCTGGAGTCTGAGAGTGAATCAGCTCTAAGGAATGTACCCTGGCCATAAGGTTATACAGGCTAGCCCAGCTAAGGGCACTCTTCACCCCTTCTGCAGAAGGTAAGCACCTTGCATTTTTTGCTGCGTACCAGAGAGATTAAGAAGAAAAGGGAGGATGACTGTAGTCTAGTGATTAAGGCATTTACTTAGGAAAGGGAAATCCTGTGTTCTAGTCCATGCATCCAGTACTGTATCTACATTTTGTCCCAATTGCTATTATATAAAATAAAGAAACCGTTCTAAGATGAGGAACTGGAATCCAAGAATACCAACTCCCAGATAAGTCCCATAACCACTGATTATTTCTCCTGCTTCAAAAACCAACTCTCTCCGTCTCTCACCTGATGAATCTAACAGTCTTGGCTGTACCATGCACAGCTTTAAGAGGAAACAAGACACCAGACCCTAGCCAGACTTTTCCAGCCTCATGGTCAAGGCATTCTCCTAGCACTAGAAACAGGGGCTTGAAACCCCTCAGGCTGAGAGCCTTGAACATGGGCCTCTGACTTTTTATGAAAAGTGCTCTAGGCAGGCATCACTGGTTCCACCAGAGACCATGTTTTAAAAAAAGAACATATTTTTCAGAGAAGTCCAATCCTGTCAATGCATTACTGTGCCTCTTAATGGGACTCAAGTAGGGTGATGCCTAGTTTCTGGATCCAGGTTTAGATAGCAGATGGGTGCCAGAACAGAAAGAACTGCACAGAGGGAAGAAACCAGGGAACTTTCTAGTGAGCAAGAAGCACTAAAAGTGTTTATCCATTTCCGAGAAGTGGCAGCAGCTTAACAGAGGGCTTTCCGGATTGCAATTTTGGACTTTGGTGCCTAAACTCCCAAGTAAGATTTTTGCTGGATCCTGACCCACATCCAAGACACCCCATAAGCAAGAGTGAAAATAAAGGTATAAAAAGTAAAATTCTTTACTTAGATTGTAAGCTGCTTGGGACAGAGACCAGCTACTTGTTACAGGCTGGTAGAGTGGGATCAGTGAATCTGGGGATCCTAAATCCCAGCAGATAAAATTTAAACTGGCAAGATCAGGGGATGGCAACCTATGGCCCATGGGCCTGATCCAGCCCACGGAGCTACCGCATCTGGTGGCCATAGGATTCAGCTGTTCTCTCCATGCTGTTATGGAGACAAGTGCCAGCTGCAGGCAAGTCCTGGACCGCCGGGGCCAACCTCTGGCCCCAAGCAGGTCATTCCAGCCTGCCGCTGGGTGAGATCTCTTGTGCTCAAACCTCATAAGACTGCAGGCGACCAGAGCAGAAATAAGCCTACTGGGGTCTAAATCAAGTGGTGCTCAATGTGGTTGCCTGCCAGGCTGGTTGGGCAGTGCCCAGCCACATCCAGTAGCCCTGATCCAGTACCTGTGATAGGTGTGGCAGGGCCCCATCCAGCCACATGAAGGGGTCAGGGGGCAGCCCAGCCCCAAAGCAACTATGTGAGAAAAGGGGGCAAGATCAGACCCTGATACAGCTGCGCAGGGGCAGAGGGCAGCCCACCAGGTCACGTGCCCCCTCTCCCTCAGGGGCCACACGTCGCTCCTCAGACGGGACCGCCCTCCCCCACCCCAGACGGCGCGAGGCAGAGGGCGGTGACGTCACCATCCCCAGCGGATCTCAACGGCTGGTGGGGGGGGGGTATCGCAGCGGCTGTGCAGCCTGCCCCCCGCGCATGCGCACTACCTGGCTCTCGCCCGCGAGCCCCGCGCTCCGCTTCATAGCACCGGCCTAGGCTCTCCGCCCACCACGTGACTTTGCTTCTGCCAGTGCCCCGCCGTGGTGGGCGGAGCTTGGAGTCAGCGCGTTGTACAGAGCCAACCCCTCAGCGCGTGCGTTACTCCCTGAGCCTCGCAGCACCACCACATGACTCTCTCTGTTTTTCCACCCCCCCCGTGGGCGGGGCTTGGAGCGCGCGTTCTGCAGAGCTCCGCTGCCTCCCTCCTTGGGGTGGTGGTAGAGGGACAGTTATGGCCAGGGCCTGGGCTGGGAGAGTGGGTTAAATGTTGGTTTAAGCCTTAAGGTGGACCCCAAATAGGGATACAGCATCAAGGGATAGGGGGCTGCGGGTTGGGAGTGAGGGGCCATGCTGAGGAAATGGGGCCAAAAATGGGGTCATGCTGAGGAAAAGTTTGGGATGCACTACCCTAAGGAGCCTGAGGCTACTATTCTTTCCAGCTTGGGAGTCAGGGGTCTTGATCCAGTTGACCCTGGGAGTCTTGTTTTTCCTGGCCCCAATGCTTCCCTGCAGCCAGGAGTTCCCTGGGTGCTTGATGGCAAGTGGTGAATGCTAGGGTGGTTGTCATAGAGGACAGGCCAGTTGTCCTCTGTCCTCTACTCACACAAAACCTGATGCCTTGAAGAGAAAAATAGAGGACATAAAGGTGTTGGGTTTCGTATTAATAGAGGAAAGAGGACAGAGTAGCAGAAAACCAGACTGTCCTCTATGATGGCCACCCTTGGTGAATCCTAGAGTCACAAAGAAGCCAAGGATCTCCAGAGGGCATCTAGTCCAATCCCAGTCCTATGCAGGACATGCTATACAAACCACTATCTCAGCTGGACGTAATAAGTTCCCCCCTATTGCTGACACGAGACAGAGCTAGTGCCCTAACCTGCCACAGCTCAAGCAGGGGAACCTCAGCAGCCAACATCCTGCTTTTGTGAGATGTCATCAACAGATGCTCAAGAGAGGCCATGCCCCCCACTGCAGAGAAAACCAATGCCCCCCACCATCCATACCAGACTGACCACGGGTACAATTCCTTCCTGATTCCAGATGTGGTGATGGGTCTAACCCTGAGCCAAGGGGCCAGACCCTCTAGCCAGGAACCTCTGACTTTGGCCCCAGCAGGAGCATTGGCACAGCCTGTCGGCCTGTAAGCTGCCTTGACCTAGCCAATGCCATTTTGTGGAACGGGCATCACATTAGCTGCAAGGAGAGGAGCACTTAGACAGCATAAACAACTGTTGTAGGCAAAACAAAATGTAGATAGCTGTGGGATGTAGAAAAACCTAAAGGAATAGGAAAGCAAAATGGGCCCAAAGATAACTCAGTTAGTAATAAGAAAGTTGAAAAAAAATAGAATGGGGGGGTGACAGATTATGAGGAAAAAACAGCAGTCAGAGAACATATAGCATGACCACATATGGGACATACAAAAGAGGGCTGGCTGTAAAAGGGTAGAAAATCCTAAGGAAAAAAATTAAGTTTGGGAAGCTGTCACTGAGCAAGAGAAGACTATGCTAGTTGAAACCACGACTGCCCAGCGCCACGACAACACCTGGCTAGCTGAGTTGTCATGCATCATTCAGAAAGCCTACCTAAGAATAACTTTATGGATTATTGAAGGTTGTTTAATATCTTGATAGACTGTTTGGGGATGTGCTTAAATACAGGTATTGCTTAAGTGTTCAATAAATTAGGATTTGAGACCAAAATAGTGTCACTGATCATTTTATTCCATTCACACCACCTCTTAGTCAAAATTGAGCTTAATAAGCCCAGCCCCAATCCCCAGCCTTTGCTGCAGCCAACCCCCAATGCCTCTAAGGGAGGCTTAAAAATACCCTGACATGTAGCAGAAAGGACATGCGGGGTGGGAGGGGACAACCAGCAAAGCCCAGACGCATGGGAAATACCCATAGTAGTACACAGGCATAGCTACACCTAGATCATCCCCAACCAATGGCTGCCCAAGCTCTTCTTCAACACCTCTGGTGATGGAGAGTCTACAACTTCCCTAGACAGTCTACTCCACTGCCTTGCTGTTCTAATATTGAAGACGCTTTTCCAGATAGCCAATCTAAACTTACTTTGCTGCAACTTCAAGCCATTGGTCTGCATCCTCCTCTCTTGCAGAGAGATAAAAAATGCTTTCCCTCTTCTTTATGGCAGCCCTTCAAATATTTGAAGACTGCTATCATGTCCCCTTTTTAACACCTTTTCCACAAGCTGAATATGCCTGGCTCCTTTATTAGGGACCAATAAAAGTAGTTGGGTCCCATAAAAGATATCACCCTAAGGAAGCCTTGCCTCTCATGCAC